ATTGTCTAACTTACTTAACAAAGTGCACCAACGAGAAGGTAAGCCATAGGACTTTGCACTCCATCAGTGAGCTGTTATTTTGTCTTAGGTTAGCCCTCCATTTCTGGATTCTTTACTTTATTTGATAGGCAGTTCATGTAAAGAATTTTTTTTGTTATTTTAATTTTAATATTTATAATAATGTGCAGTTAAGCATAGAGATAAAAAAATTGATATATACTATAAAAATATCTTTAAATTAAACAAAATTGGTACATATAAATATATCATATATGATTCATACCATTTATAAAGACAAAAACCACTGTACTCAAATGCAGTAAAAACAAATAATTGGAACATAATAACAAAAGAAACAAGATAAATACATATTACAACATAATTCTAAAGTTTTAATAAATAATATTAATCTAAGCTAAAAAGAATAATATCACCTTTTTCAAAATCAATTAATAAAGGAAATGACCATACTTCATTAGGTTCGTTATCATACTTAACAAGGTATGTGGTTTGTTAGCATTTAATTGATCAATTGTGCTATTGTGCTATTCCCATGTGCTATTTGTGCTATTCCCAATTGTGCTACTTGTGCTATTCCCAAGATACTTTAAGAGAATCTTTTTTTCTAAGACGATGTTGTATAGAAAAACCTACAAAATCAGATGGATTGTTAATAAATTTTGATAAGGAATATTTTTTTGTGCTCTATTAATTTCTTTAGTCTTGCATCCTGAATTTTTTCGATTAATTCTTTTTTTTTTTTTTTTTTTTGCTTTTAACAGCTGCATCATGTATTATAACAGGGTTTAAATTATTACTTAAATAACTTAAAGATTGTTTGTTTGGTGCTAAATTTGCTTGAATGACAATAAGAAGATTTTAATATAATTCCTCCAAAGACAAGTTTTTCATTTGGCTTTCTTTTATTTTTGTTTTACAAAAAAGATTTTTGGCACATTCGACACCTAAGATTATGCGATAAAAATTTATTTAACAAAGGAGCAATTTTGCCTTTAATGGTTCTTCTATATTGCATACCTTTAATATTGCATATCTTCAAAATCTATTAGATGTGTAAAATAATCAATTTTTAAATCCAACATAGATTCAATTTTTAAATCTATTATAGATTCCATTTTCCTTTTTAAAATTTTATTTACTTTTTTCAGCATTATATTTTCCCTTATTAGTATTGTTTCTTTAGAAATTCCAGATGCATTCACTGTATTATGAGGAAACTTGCCACAGGTGGAAAAAAAGGCTACACCTAACAATTATAATAATAGTTGTTCGCTGTTTCTTTAACTTTCTGATGGTGTCAACTAATCTATATCTTTTTGGTTAAAGCTTTCTTGCAGCAAAACAGTTTAACATTGAAATCCACTCAACATTTACAACATATTGTATGATAAGATGTATCTTTTAATGTCGAATGCCAATCATAAATACTTTCATTGATCATTATATCTAAATAAATATAGATTTTCCAGTCATCATTTCAAAAATATATATAAATTTATTTAATTTTATATATATATTTATATAATATAATATAAAATAAGTAAAAGACTTTAAAACTAATTTAAATTATATAAATATTTTATAAATGTTTAAAAGTAAGTATATATATATATATATATATATATATATATATATATATATATATATATATATATATATATATATATATATATATATATATATATATATATATATATATATATATATATATATGTATATATATATATATATATGTATATATATATATATATATATATATATATATATATATACATATATATATATATATATATATATATATATATATATATATATATATATATATATATATATATATATATATATATATATATATATATATATATATATATATAACTTTAAAATCATTTAAATTGTAAAAAAAGTAAATTGTAAGACTTACTGTTAAACTGTTGTAATTAAATCACTAATTGGTTAGCAACAAGAATATCAAAATGCTGTAAGTAAAAACATGTAATAAAATTTCAGGTATATAAAAAATAAAATTCATGTGTGAAAATGTGTGAAAAAATTCTTATATTACTTTACTTGTTTAAGAAAAACGGCAAATTTACCTTTTTAAATTTTGATTATGCTCAAAAATATCTAAAGACGGGGGAAATTTAAAAAACTCCAATTATAAAACAAAAAACCCACCCTATTTAAAAAAAAAAAAAAAAAGTTATTGACATAATAAATAAGTAGTTGCAGAACCTATTTTTATGTGGGGACGAAAGAATTATCTTAATTTACTTGTATTTAAACAAAGCTGAAACATTTAGAATTAAATAACTTTATCAAATTTAAAGCAAAACTTCGTCCCCAAACAAATTATTGTAGTACATCCTTTTCTAAATAAAATAACATCTATATATACGTATATACCATTAGTTCTCATAGGTGGGTTTTTATTCGACACCTACATAAAATCGACACCTACATAAAATCTTTTCTTGCGTTTTTTGGACAAAACAAACGAAGTATATTTTTCCGCGATAAAATGTCACGTGATATAACTCCCTATTTTAAGTAAAATAATATATTGATAAAATTGTGTAAGTTAAAAAATTAATAGTAAACTTCCTTATTACAGGCCTAAACTTGTAACCATAGAGGCAAACACTTATGATAAATCCGAAAGAGATTGTAAATTGGGAGAGATATAGTCATATATGATATACAGCAGTTTAACTAATATTAAATTTTTAATATTAGTGATACTTTAGTTACTTGAGTATTGTTATTAGTAATCACATCTTTGATTTAAAGAATACCATTCTTTATTCTATAATTTTTCAGAATTCAAAGGACATGATTTTTTTACCCTCTTAAACACAGGACGCGTCCTGTGTTGGATAGAGGGTAAAAAAGTCATTATCAAACGTCCTAATATTGAAGTTAACATAGCAACGACTTTGAATCAAGTTAGCTCTAGTCGGTTGCAAATTTGCATTATTTCGTTGATAAAATGGTTATCCTTATTAATCTTTTAAACTTGTGTCCAAGGCCGACGCGATAGGGGTGTGTGGGGGGAGGGAGGGGAGACACCCCCCCCCCACCTATCAATGATTTTTAGTCGGCAAACTGGACCCTTAGTCGGCAAATCGGACCTTTTTAGACTAGTTAGTCGGCAAATGTGGACCCTTTCGATATAGGTTAGACAGTCGGCAAATGTCGTAATGACAGTCGGCAAATTTTGGAAAACGAGGACCTTTTTTTTTTTAAGTCAGCAAAAGTTGTAATGGCACCCCCCCCACGTGACACCTACTCGCGCCGGCCCTGCTTGTGTCAAAATCAGGGGAAAACAAGTCGCTCAGTAGTCTGATAAACAGATTTAATTTGTTTTGAATGAGGATGGTAGACATGTCATAAATACAGTATATACAATATATTAAAATACAGTTTTAAAATGTTGATTTAATGTGCAAAATTACAGTTTTAAAATGTTGCAAGATATTTTTATGTTAATATCTCAGTTAAAGATGTTTGCAGTTGGTTCCTTTCTGTTGAATGTCGCTAATGGTTAACTAAAGTAAATGGTTGACAAAAACGAATTCCATATTTAATAAAAGTTCCGGAGATATATTGAAATTGAATAGTGATTCACATTAACTGTTTAAAGTGAATTTATTTTGCGTATGGCATTGATTATCAAACAAGAATCCAAGATGTTTCAGTTTATTACTGAGACGAGGGAAAAATCGTTAATTTGAATTGTATTTTTTGCAACTGAACTTTTAATGGATATAATAAATTTGATTTTTTGTGTCTAGCTTGATATAAACAACCGTTATCAGAAAACTGCACACAAAAACTGGATTTCCTAGAAGTTAACCACAAAAATTAGGCAATTTTCCAAGAAATCTCTTTTTTAGTGTCTCAGGGACAAATGTTTGTCGTTGTTGTTCCAGACTTGAATCAATTGCAATTTTTTGTTACGCTGATGGTATTTGTCTTTATTAGACATATATACAATAAACAAATGTAAGACGAGTATATAGAATACGGCAAGTTTTGATTTTTGATGCACGTAAATTATAAACTTGTTAAATGACCTATTAAAATAAATTATATTAATTTATTACACGAAAAACCTTTCTTTCAATATTTAGAGTGCATTTGCTAAAACCAGGGCTGTGGAGTCAGAGTTGCGACAATTTTAACAGAGTCGCTAAAAAATATAGCGACTCCGACAGTAAAACTTCTTGGTATTGCACGTGCATGTACAAAACATTAAATTAACCTAATGTTCATACTAAACCTCTAAGAATGTTTCATTAATTTGTCAAAAAAATAAATTTCAACTTATAGCGCAATATTTTTTAAAGAGTTCAAAAATTTTTTAAAAAATTTTACTTTGGAGTTTAAGTAGGAGTCGGAGTTGTACTCAAAAAATTTCAACAACTGGAGTCGGAGTCGTTACTTTTTTTTAACGACTCCACACCCCTGGCTAAATCCTAGAGTACAAATTGAGTCCGCATTGCGGATAAGCGCTTTAACCACTGCTGCTAATGTGTTTTAGATATAATAATGTGTTTAGGTTAAAAATTTTATTTTGAAAAGGCTTGAAAGTACCACTTGAAATATAATCATTTTATAATTTAACGTAAACAAAATCTTAAGGTTAAATAATATTGATTATACGACTAAAATGGTATCTAGAATAAAATTTGTATCTAAGAATTTTATTTTTTCCTAAAAACTTTTTTACAAATTATTCTGTAGCGATACAAAATTTTCAAAACCTCTTAATTCCTGTATGAAAAATAGATCGACTTTAGTTTGAAAGCAATTCAAAAATGATTGGTTTCATTTACCTTAGAAAAAATCGCATTATTTTTTGGGAAAAAAAAATTATTCTTCGATTTTTTTTTCCATAAGTATCTATGTTATCCTTAAGTATTCATAACCATGGTATTAAAAGAACCACAGTTTTAGAAATTTCAGAAATAACAATGGCATTAATAAAAAATCAATTAAAATCTTATATACAAAAAAATATATATATATATTTTTGAACATCATGTAATCCAATCGATTTGTGACCATTAGTTGGAGTTGGACTTCAATATCGACGCCCTACGATACTTCGGCGACAAATCTCAAAATTAGTGGGTGAGATTTTCAAAACCATCTGAATAACAAAAAAATCTTTTATTCAAATTCACACACACACACACACACACACTCACACTTTATATTAAAATATTTAATCTATATTATTTTAAATTAAAAATTCTTACTATATGCAATGCATGCTTTCTTTCTCAGTGAATATTTATAAGTAAATAAATCCAGCTACATTTCAACATATAAAGACGTTAGAAACTCAGTCATGTAGGAAGACTATTCATGCTTAGTGATGTAAAGAAAAAGAATATCTATTAAAAAAAAAAAGAGAATCATTATCAGTTTGAATAAAACAACTAATTTTAAGCAAAAACATTAGATAAAAACACGAAATAAAATACAAGATTACAGCATACAAACAGTAATAGCTCACGACATAAATAATGTAAATTAGCAACTTCAACCATTTTTTATAAAATAGTAGTGACTTGAAAACTTCTTTGTTGTCTTTAGTAAAAACCTATATGCTTGTTAAATTTAATAAAATATTTTCAAATTAATAAAATGAATAAAATTAATAAAATGAAAATGAGCAATTTGTACATTCTTTTTGTAAATTAAATTTAAACGACGTTAAAAAAAAAGAATTGGAAAAAATTTTTTTTTGACATTTATTCTTCGTCTTATTTGTTTTTGATTGTTATTTTAATTTAAATGTTTTTAAAGTTTGTTGAAAACATTGTATCTAAAGTAACGTTTTTGGAATTTATGTAGTTATATTTGAATAATTTTATAAACAACAAAATTTGATTTAAAAAACTGTAAAAATTTTGTTGGGGAGACAGTGATAATTAGCTTCAGGAGTAAGTTGATGCCCTGCATTGAGCTTTAGGGCCATTTATCAAAAACTGTTTGAAATCACACACAAAACCTTCATAATAAATAATTTAATTTTTTCTTCATTACCTTTACAAACATTCATAATAATAAAACCATTACCATCACAAACCTTAATAATAAATAATTTAATTGTTTAATTGTCATAAACAATTTAATTGTTTATTATAGTATGGTAGCTATTTGTGAAAGTATGTGCTTTTGGCGTGAAAAGTAACTTTAGGAATGTTGCAGCTTTTTAATTTACTTGAGTCTTATAAAAAGATTTAGAAAGATTCGCAAATGATTTATTCATATTTGTTTATTTTTAAAAATTTAGCTTCAGAACCCATTGACTATTCTCTTTGAACAAAAAAAACATTTGGGGTTAGTTGCCACATTTTAAATAAGACTAATGGGCTGCATGTTATTTAATATAAAAATTTTTATGGAAATTTTAAATTATTTTTTAATTTAATATTAAATAAATTTTTTATTTGGAAAAAAAAAGAGCTTATTATTATATCTGTTTAAGTATTATTTGCTGCCAGTTTAAAAAATATTTCACGTTTTTGCTTTAAAGTTGTAACCAGCATACAAAAAATTATTTTTTTCAACTTCACAACTAATATTTTATTAAAAATAACTTGTAAATAATGTGCCGACATACCTCACACTGGAAAATTAGCACTTTTTTTTTTAATTTAAAGGCGTCTTTTACACCCCAAAGCTGATTAATTACGTTTGATAATTCAGCATATTAGCTAAATCCATATTCTTTAAATTACATTTTAATATTTACAGAAAAAATAACCAGAGGATTAAGAACTCAAAATAACTGGGTGTATAATGCATACTGGTTATTAGCGAGAAATCTATTAAATAATAACTAATGTAATTGCTGTATCAATGTTATCTATGTATGAAAAAAATGTATGAAAACAATTTTATCTATAGATGTTAACATTGAGATTTTTACTGTATTTACTTTCTCACTGCCAATAGCAACCAAAGTCAAGGAGGCAACTTTAAAAAATAATATTTAAATGGTGGTTCTACCAAGATTGCGGTAAGGATCAAAGTTGGCACTACTCCTTAATAAATAAAGTGTTTTAGCTCAACAAATATAATATTTCAGATAACCCAACTAATATTTACAAATAAATATAAAAAAAAAGATTTATTTACATTGGTAATTTATGTACACAAAATATAAAAATAATTCAAGTCCAACACTTTACAAATTATTACATACTGTTAAACTTTTCCTTTTTTTTTTAATACAAAAAAAAAAGTTTGATAACAAAAAAATTTGCAATAACACTTTAACCACTTAACTGTTAATAATATATAATAGACTAAACTTTTGAAAAAAAGGCAATGATGTATATACATAAATATATTTTTTGAAGTAGTGAGACACTTACAATGCTAAGCCTTATGCATGGAACCAATCAAATATTTTATAATATTCTGCAAAGAATTTAAGCTCATAAAAAATATTTTTCTATAAGTGTACCTGATTTAGTTTATATATTAGCAAATAGGGCAACAACAACAAAAAAAAAGGGCAAGTTGTAAAAAAGCAAATCAGTTGCTGAAGTTTGTCAAAGTGATACTACCTAATTTTTGTTCTTGTTTCAAATACTAAAGATGACTAACAACACAACACAACAAAAAGAATCTCAAATCGAAAATTTAAGAATTCGATGCTCTTCATTTTTGACTAAAGCTAATAGAGCAAATTGCTTTAAAGTGCGGATAGTGCTTTAAAGTGGAGTCTTTTGAGCAACCTGGTAGATTTTCAACAATTGAAAAGAACCAATCATTATACCTACCAACTTTATTTAATGTTCATTAACTAAATTTAACTAACCAGTAATATACTGGCTACAGCACACAAAGATATTGCTACAAGAAGATCTGCAGCACATTATAATTAACCTGGATTGTGTTTGCTGCATTGCATCGAGAAATATCACATAATTAAAGTATTGATTTTAAACAGGATTAATTTCCATTTAGTAAAGCATATGTTTTTAAGTTTATTTTTGATTATTTTTGTTTGTTCTACTTAATACTTGGAATTTTTGAAAACTAACTCAATACTATTGCGCACCAAAATTAGGTGAAGATTAAGGGGTTGAAGATTGACAGTTTTAAGTGCAGCAAATGTGCTAATTCTTAAAGGGGAGAAAACTAAAATTAAAAATGATATGAATTGTGAAACTCAGTAGTGTAGCAAGGAGCAGGAGGAGGAGGAGGGAGATTTAATAGGACGCAAAACAATCATATTGTCTTTACTTTTTCTGTTGAAAAAAATAAAGCAATATAATATATGGTTTTAATTTTTTAACAGAAAAAAATAAAGAATTTTTTTGTCATAAATTTAAAAAATATTATGTAGATATATAAAACAATATTTGCTGTTTGAATAAATTTTAAAAGTACTTTTTTTCTCTACAAAAGAACGAAACTGCAACTATAGTATAAAAATAGATAATCTGGAAACACAGACAGTTTCCATTGTTTTTTGGTTTACTTGAAAACTGCATGGCGAAACTGCACAATGAAAAGTTTTTATGATAAACAGTAATTAGGAGTGTTTGTTTGATATGGTTAATAAAGGTTTTTTAAACAAAGACATAAATTTAGCTACAGATATAGATTATCTTGTTTTCAAAGTCAATAATTACGTTGATCAACATGTATATAATTGGTGTTTAAAGTAAACAAAACTTTGCATCAAGGCATATTCTAAAAAATTCTTACCTTTAATAAAATGTTACCACTAAAATTGTAAAGAATAAAAAAAAATATTGCAAATTTATCGGAAATAAATATGTATCTGCCATTTGATATAATTAAACAGTTCTTGACAAAAATCTTGTGCAAGAAACTTAGATAATCAATAAATGGTGTTGAACATCTTTAGTAAAAAATGAAAGACATTAGGAAAGTAAAATGTTACGCTATTATTTTTGATAACACACCTGATATATTCCACATTAACCAGTTGTCTCAAGTTATCAGATATGTACATATTGAGATTTGAGTCTTTCATTGATTTCATTGATTTAAATGGAAAAACAGCAGAAGCAATTACGACCTTAAATTTTCAATAAGTTAGTAGCAGATAAACCAGAAATAGGAAACTGTTATGCTCAAAGCTATGACAATGCAGCTGCAAGGGCTAGATATAAAAGTGGGGTCCAAAAACAAATATTGGCAATCAATCCCAAAGCTTAATTTATACCATGCAATAACTATTCATTGAATCTTGCCAGGTGTGCATGCAGTAGGTAGTAGTGGTACATAGTTGGTATGTTTCTTTGGCACAGTGAAAAAAAATTTACACCTACTTCTCAGCCTCAACTTGTAGATGTTTTGAAGAACCATGTGCCAATTAGTTTAAAATGCCCTTGTGAGGATCAGGTGAAGTTCCAGACTTGACATAGTTCATGCTCATAGGTAACATGATGATATAATAGATGCTCTTGAAGAGCTCAGAGTTGGTTATCATGAAACTATTAAAACAAAAGGTGATGTTGGAAATATCATACTATGTGTAATGATATACCCCTTTTAAGCGTTTTTTTTACTTCTAGATCACTATCTTAGTTGGTGCATAAAAAATTTCTACAAATAAAAGAACTACCCCTAAAAATTGTGCCCTTAAAATGGAAATGTTAGCGATATTCCTAGTCGAAGAACAAGATACAGTTAAAGGAGGCAAGTAATTATACTTTGAAGATATGTTAAACATACAATATTACAATAGAAAAAAGAGTTTGCCGACACAAGAAAATACAGGATAATCAAACCAGAGATGCTAGCTCAAGTCTCGTTGATGAAGTTAGACGAGAACAATACAAAGTTGTAGATAGGCTACAAGAAATTGTGAACTGCTTAGCTAATTTGCAAGAAATTGAGAAAAGCTTTTCTTTCTTAAAAAGAAAAATTTTTCTCAATATCTTTCATCAATCGCCAAATATGTGCAAAACTTACAATGAGCTAAATTAATTTTTCGTTAATTGTAGTTAAAGGCCTTCGATGTTATATGACAGTTCTGAACAAACACCAAGATAGATTCACAAGAGTGAAAGAATGTGAGTGCTTTAGAAGTCTTGTCTTGGATTCTCAAATGGCACTTGCAAATTATGGACAATTTTGCAAAAAGAAAAGGAAAATGCGTTAAATTTTAGTCATTTCAGCGGTACTTAAAACGATGTACGTCTTTTTTTCATTAATTTGCAGATCAATATTTTTAACAGTATTTTTTCATTAATTTGCAGATCAATAAGTATCTTGGAAGTATGATAGTTTAGTATAATCATAAGTTAAATTGTTTGGTAGATACCTCAATATCTAAAAATACCGTGTAACTCTCAGTATTTGTATCTGTAAATATACAAAAGAAACATAATTACAGTATAGCACAACATTGTATTTTCTTTTATTTACATAGTTAATATATATATATATATATATATATATATATATATATATATATATATATATATATATATATATATATATATATATATATATATATATATATATATATGTTATATATTACTTCAAAACACAAGACTTACTGGTACCCTGGCACCAAACCTAAAAGATACAAGAAAAGCTCCTTAATAGGAATTAATGGACGCAATATTTATTTTTGGCCTTTGGCACAAAATTCCTCGCTACGCCATTGGTGAAACTGAAATCATAAAATGTGTTAGCATGCTTTGTTATTTAGATGATATGATCAGGTTAAGAAGTGGAGCATATAAGTAGTGGAGCAGATAAAAAGTTGAACAGATAAGGCATCAAAAGCATGATTACAAGTGTGCCTAGGCAAAACTCAGAGAATTATCACATAATGAACAAGTTGTTATTATTTTACAAACACAACTAAAAAAATTGGTATTTAAATTGAAAAGAAATTGGTATATAAAAATGGTATTTTCCAGGCAAAACACTGTGTTGTAATCGTTGTGTATCAGATGTCATTGAGTACAGCATTTTTAGATTGTGCAATCAGATATTGCTATCCTTGAGACTTGAATCATTTACATAAATAACCCTAAATAGTTATCTTATTTTAGCCTTTTATTTTTTTTGTAAAAAATCATTCAGTTGCTCTTAGAGATGTTAAATGTAAATCATTATGTGCCCAATGACACTAAAGTATGCTATTTTTCATTTCAAATTTACCTCCTTAAGGCAGTGGAAGCCACTGAAGTGAAAAAGCTCATTTTTAAAACTATAATTTTTTTACAAACTACTTTCACTCCTATATGTCAAAACAGGAGCCTTGACAAATTAATTATGTAAATACCAGAAATGTCTTTTTGACCACAGTACAAAAAGAGTGAATAAAAATTTTTCCAACTCAACATTCTTGAATTCAACGTTAAAAACTGCAGTCTTTTTTTAAAATTCTATTAACCTATTCAAGCATAGGAAGCTCATTTTTCTAATATTCATCTATGATTATTGATATACTTTTTTCCTGCTTAATATTTAGACAATACTAAGTCAATGTAAACATTATAAAGTAATTTTTCTATGTTGAACAACATAACAAAACTACTTTGTCATGTCTACAGTGGTAAACACAGACGTTACCAAATCATTTTGTCTAATAACAAAGAAAAATGACTTTGTAATGTCTAAAGTTGATAGATAATAATACAGACATTACCAAGTCATTTCGTATAACAATATAGAAAAATGATTTGGTAATACTTATAGTTCATCCAGGTCATTTTTAAAAAATTCAGTATTTTGTTGAGGTAAAAAATCCGAAAATTTTTTTCCCTTATATTCCTCCTAAATTTGATTTTAGCGGAATTGTTTCTAAACTTGTATGTATACAAAAATGTTTTGGATATCTGGAAAAACTAAAATTTGAAAAGAATATCAGGAATTCCGGAAATATATGGAAAAGGATAATCCCTGAATACTTCTAAAAATTGGTATAAATAACTTTAATTAATTTGATTACCATTTAATCCTAAAATAAAATGTGCAATAAACGGCAAATTATTAGTAAATTTTATTACATTCACCACACTTCATTCAATTTTTTGATTCTTTTTAGAAGTAAAATTATATTATCTAATTATTTAAAATCCAAACCTGATGCTACTCACATCCAGCAATGATACTAGTCAAAAAAATTTCCAGGTCACACATTCTACAGGTTGGGGGTTGAGTGTAAAGTGGAGAAAGGAAAGTAATAAGTTATGCCACTAACTAACTAGTGGAGTGTTTCAAAATTTAGCGCTTTTATTAGGCTGTTTAAAATTTAAAATGGTTTTTACGAAGATAATAAAATATTTTCTCTAAACTTTGAAAAATATTTTTTAAAGTTTCAACAATTTTTTTCACTTATATCACACTTTTTAAATATTTATATTGATTCTGAGTAGAGTGGCCCCCTGTTTAGAGTATTGTTTAAAAAAACTTAAAACTATTCTAAAAATTACAATAGACTTCTGTAAAATTTAGCTAACTCATCCACTGCTAAACTACAAATGTGATTACAATAGTAGTTATTTTGCATAAAGATAAACAAAAAAGAAATAGCAAATGATCAATGGCACAACTCTACCTTGTGTTACAGCCATTATTTTTGCAATTTGTCATCTGAATTTACCTATAGGAATATAGTATATACCTAATAAATAAATTCAGATATTATTAATTAAAAGACATTTTTCTAATAGAAAATATATTTTAATAAAAAAAATTTTGTTTAAATTATTTAAATGAAAATCAGAATTGATTAAAAAAAAAACTATGAAACAATAAAAATAAAATAATGAAGGCAGCATCTTATTTAAATATTTAATTCAAAAACTAAATGCAACGTAAAACCAGCAAACAGTGAGCTGATAGATTTATAAAAATTAGCTTCTTGGTACTATTAGATACTATCAGCTGAGGTAAAAATGGTTAAAACCATCATAAAATTTTAATTAATGATCCAAATACCAACAGTATTTTGCAACATAAAAGCATAACATAGAGAATGTAAAAATACGATTTTAGAAAATTGCAAGAGAAAAGAAATCAAACAGAAATTTTTAGAACCAGATAACAAAATTGAAATATCTTATTTTTTCAGTGCAGTAAATACTTAACTAGCACTCTACTATGTTTTGTTTTTGTTTTATAGTAAGTCAAAATTCATCAATCAAGTAATATATTTTAAAATTAAGTAATAACTTTTTTTATTTTAGTTTTAATTGAAAAGCTGATTTTAGTTTTAATCGAAACAAAATAACTTTATTTAATTCCCTAATAACTTTATAATAACTTTTAATCAGATTCCCATTTATATTTCTACAGCAACAAACCACATCAACCATTGTTTTTGCACATCTTTCGCTTCAAGTATAAATAAAGCTTTGTGAAATTTGTTGAAATAAAATGTTCAGCAACAAAAAGTCGAAAAAATAAGAATACTGTAAAGCAAAAACAGAATGATGAAAAAAAAGTTAAAAATATAAAAAATAGTTTAAACTTAAGCAACTGTACGGTTGTATGCTGAAAATCTATATATTGTTACTGAAAAAAACTATACCAAACAGTAAGATTTTTTTTTTGTTCAGTTTTAAATCCATTAAACAAAAAGATATTTTTTTATTTTTCAACATAAAAAATAATAATAATCCCCCAATTAACGGCACTTTCTAATATCATCTTCACAATATTAAGATCATTTTAATTTAAATTGACATTTAGCTATATTCTAAAACCTATGACCGTCTGTAACTTAAGCCGCAAGATAAGATGTCTGAAAATACTACTTTAGTATGATAAAAACTCCAGTTAAAATTTTTGAAATTAAAGTTTTTATAATTTCATTAGTTAAGTCTTTTTTTAAATATTGATACATTTCTATAAAAACTAACCATGGTGAATCTAAGATGATGCAGCAATATAATATATAAACATACCTCAGCTTCCTTTGTGCATCAACTGAATGCATTCAGTCATCCGAATTTCTTTGGGAAATGATATGCAGCATAGTTCAAAAGAAATCTTTGACAGGAACATACATACAGAAGACATCATTCTTTTTCATTTATTTATATCTTGATATTTTGAGCAAACATTTTTACTATATTTAATTAACCATTATTTAAAAAGAATTTTAAACCATATAAACATAATTGAATATAATATTCAAATTTCTCACATTCTCAAAAAAAAAGCACGATTTCTGTTATCTTTGCATTGAAAAAATATAGGATATAATGAAGAGACTGTTAAACTAACTCTCCAATATAAATAAGGAATGTATCAGCGTATATTACTATTAATCCTCTAAATAATCGATATAGATTTAAGGTAATTAAACTATAATACCCTACTTTATTTCAAATAATTAAATTACTTATTAAGATTAGCAAATCAATAAAGATGCAACACTTGATGTAGAAATATAGATAGATTAGGTACATGATAATTATTTTTATGTAGGAGAGTGCAATGTGAAAGCTAAGAATTAAGATTTTTATGGTACTCTCCTACATAGCAATGAGGACACTTTACAATAAGGTGACATTGGTCACCTTATAGTAGGATAAAAAAAATTATTTAAAAGAATAGTTAGTACTAAAATAACCATGTATTAAAATAAATCACTTTATATAGACTAACAGCTTTAAATAATGTCTATGAAAGTTGTGTATGTCTTATATAGAAGTAATATATCTTTGTTTACTTATTATATGAAGACTTAGAATCACTGGTCTAGTTTCATAAAACAAGTTATAGAAATTTATATAGTATTTCACTGCATTGGTTTGAAAATAACTTATATAAAAAGGATTTTTGCATGTAACAGAAACGTAATCATCAAAAAACCCTTTAAAACATGCCTTATGCAACATTTTATGACAAGAACCTGTTTTGTATATTAACTAACAAGTAACCTTTGTTACTTTTTAAGTAACAAAGGTTACTTATTGAATATTACTATAAGTTTCCTATTAAGTAACAAAAGTCACTTATTGGATATTACTATATGTTTCCTTTTAAGTAACATTCTTTTTGAATATGGCTATAAGTTTCCTTTCTAGCATTGATAATTTTTTAAGCTATTGCATATAATTTAAGTTATTGAATCGATTTTATTAAACTTTGAGACAGACTTTCTCAAAACTATCAATAGATTAAGAACGCAGTCACAAACTCAGTCGAATATATATATATGTGTGTGTATGTGTGTGTGTCTATATATATATATATATATATATATATATATATATATATATATATATATATATATATATATATATATATATATATATATATATATATATATATATATATATATATATAAATAAAGTTCTTCAAAAGTATATCATGTTGGGTCTCAAAAGAAGTGAAATTTTGTAAAAATTTCAAAAATAATAATCATTTTATATAAATATTACTAGTTTGATTTTATAGCCTAAAAACTATAATTTTTTGACAAAAAATTAAAAGTACATATTTTTAAAGTTTTTTTTGAATAAACTTTTTTAATTTGTGTTTTCATAAATTATTTTTTAAATTTTCATAAAATTTCACTTCTTTTGAGACCAAACATTATATACTTTTGAAGAACTTTTTTTTTCAAAATATTAGGGACTCGTTTGATGTTTAAGGGTATTGAGCGACCCCTAAAATATTTTTTTATTCAAAATTTTTTTTAATTTAGTGGTTATTTATTACATAGAACACATTTAGGGGGTGGCAGCAGACAATTTCAAAAAAAGTTGTTTTAAGTGGCACTCTAATATATATATATATATATATATATATATATATATATATATATATATATATATATATATATATATATATATATATATATATATATATATATATATTATATATATATAGACACACACACACCACTAAAACACACTCACACACAATAAAAAGATCTCCTAAATGATAAACCATATTTTTTGATATAACTGATTATCCTAAAAATCCATCAGGATACTTTAAAAAAATTCACATTTAATCTTCCTTTTTTCTATGTAATTTAAAAGATTAAAATTCAGGAAATTTTAATTCTTTTTAGAATCAGAGTACTAATATATACTATAATTAATTCATTTCAATATTTTGAAATAACAGATTTTTCACTCAGAGTACCTTTAAATTAAAATATTAAAAAAAAAAAAAAAAAAAAAAATTTATAAATATAAATGATAAATGCTGGAGACTGAATAAGTGCAAACTTTATAAATGCAAACTGGCAGTTTGAACGGGAAAGTGTGAAGCAGTTGCAAAACTTGCATAAGTGAGCTAAAAGAATTTACAAATATGTATAAGTGCGAAATAGTTGCAAAAATTGGCATAAATGCAAATTGTGTGCCAAAAGAATTAGTAAACATTGGTATAAGTGCGAATTGGCATAAACGCTAACTGGTATTTGCAAAAACTGACACAAACGTGCTTAACAATTAGATATATATATATATATATATATATATATATATATATATATATACTGGATGTCTAACTTGGCGGATTTTATTGGACGAAAAGTGAAGTTGCTTTTTCTGTTTAAAAATTTAGTTTTCCAATTGTAAAAAGGGTAAAATATTATATGGTTATTAAATGTTATGGAAGCCATTTCTAATTAGGCCAAAAGCTAATATTTATAATATCATTGGTGCCAAAAGAATTTCCAAAGATATAAATAAGTGCAAATTGACATAAGTGCCAATCTTTTTTTAGCGCATTTATGCCAGTTTTTGCAACTGCTTCACACTTAGGGATCGTCCATAAATTACGCAACGCAAAACTTAGTTAAAAAATATAAGTAGGAGATCATTTTGCTCTTTTGCGCGGTGGTTTTTGCTGGACTTGAAACGTTGTTTATATACTTGGTTTAATCAAAGACTCTGGATGGAAAACTTTTAATCCTTTGTCTTTTGTCTATAAGTTAAATTTCGCATTGCGTAATTTATGGACAATCCCTTATGCAAATTTGAACTTATGCAGATTCGCTGTTATGAAATTTGTACTCAATCAATCATGCTGTTCAATGGGTTTAAAAATAGAAAAATGTAGTTATTTTCTATAAAAATAACAAAAACTATTTGGCAAAAAAATCAAAACCAAGATTTTTATAAAAAAAAAAAATAATAATAATAAAATAACATAGTTTAGTATTAAACTTAACATGAAAAAAAAAACTCATTTTATTTAATTGCGTTATTATCATATTAATTGTATACATATATACTGTTAAAAAATGTTGATTTTTTTTAGAGAAAATCTTTTGGAAAATAACAAAATTTCTCTGCACTATCTAAATTTTTAAATAGTCTAAGCGTGTTATATTTTGCAATGTTTACAACTTGATATTTTCCGCACTTAAACATATATTATACTGTAAAAATTAGTTTGCATGAAATATAATTACCATACTAAAAAAAATGAGGAATTGGTTATTTAATGCAAGTAAATTACTTTATGTATTATTTGATATTAACTATAATTTATATAGGAGGAATTGACATATAAAGAAGATTAAGGTTAACACATTTTTTCTTTTATAAATAATTGTTTTGTTTTTTAAAAAAGAAAAAAAGGAAAAAAAAAACACTTCATTTAGATGCTGATACTAAAAACTTAAGTCAGTACAATATTAGAAGAAATAATTACTATGAAGACCTAATTACACAGTAGTAATTGTGTGTTTATATATTTATTTGTAAATATACACACATACCAGGTGTGCAGACATATGCTTTCTCTGACCATGAATTTTGTTTTGACAACAGCTATTTGCATGTTTTAAAAAAATGCAGGTTTTAAAAATACACTGAAAAATACTAAACTAAAGAGAAAAATTAAAATAAAAAAACCATAAACTGATAAGAAAATAAATAAAAACGAACTAATAAGAAAATAAATAAAAAGATAAACTTGAAAAAATAAGACCATAAAAATAACGTTTTTTTTTTTCTTTTTTTTCCCACTAGGTAGACTTGAGAAAAGATCAAAATTATTAAATCCAAACTTAAGACCTAGAAATTTAATTACTTGAATACATTGAAACTTCAATACTTTCTGATGTCTAGTAGACATCAGAAAGTATAAAAGGTTTTAAAAAGTCAATAAAACATGAAAGTTTCAAGAAAGTCAATAAAATTTGAAAAAAAGAGTTATATTTAAAGAACTTGAACCTGTCCCCAATATCAAGCTGACAGTTGCGCCCCAGCTAACATAATGAACATGTAAAAAATTACTAGATCAAATATTGACTACATTTTATTTTAAAATTTAAAAAATTTGAACGCTTTTAATTAAAAAACATATATATTATTTTTAAGGTTTTACTTTTTTAGGTTTATCTTAAATTTTTTCATTTATCAAAAAAAAAATTTAATTTTTGTCCTAGGTGCCACAACAAGACATAAAAATTTTATCACCGAGCACCAGCAGAAAAGCATTTAACTAGGAAGTTCACGCTTTCTTCCTTAACGATAGTACAAAATATGCTCAGAGCTCACTTCGAAGCCTGGTATTTTTGCTTCTAAAATAAGAATTTTTTTAGAAGCAACAGCATATTTCAGCATTCTTTAAATGCGCAAATAATCAAAACAAATAAATAGCCATGGTCAAGTTGTCAATAAAAAAAAAGTTTTATGCATGGTCATGCAATATGAATGCACCATTTCTTGTAAAGAAATAACTATAGAAATATGCTTGTGTAATCACCCTGGCACAAAACGCCAAACTTCAGTGCATACATCAACTGAGAATTTGTGCAAGTACAATTTAGATTATAAATTTAATTATAACTTCTTTTATTAGGACAAAATAAAATTGTAATTTTTCTTTTTAAGGCTGTTCATTAATTACATCAACAAAAGAGGGAGGAGGAGGAGTCTGAAATTTTTTGACAATTATTGATACGGGGAGAGGGGTGATAAAACAGTTGCAGTTAAAATTGTTACTTTTTTGAATAAATTTAATTACCTAGAGAAAGAAAAATTAGGCAGCATTTTCAGTCCTGTGTTACATACTCGCTCAACCTTCAGTATTTATATAAAGCTATTTATTTTCCTACTTTTTAAAAACCATTTTGTGCATTGAAAAGATCCAACACATACAGAACTAAATAAGCACACACGAAATGTTTACTCAAAACACAATTAATTTTTTAAAGTTGTTTACTCAAAACACAATTAATTTTTTGTAGTTTGCTGTACAAAGAAAAAAGATTTAAGTCAGTGCATAGTCTATATTATATTATTTAAATGCTAATACCAAGGGTGCAACCTGAGGCTC